AAGTTGTAGAAGCGCATGTGATGCTAGCGCCACCAGCTGCTCTGCCTATTTAAATGTGTCACGAACGCCGGCTGGACACAGCAGCGCGCACCATGTCAGAGCAGCAGCAGCAGGCGGGACCGCAGCAGTACAGATGTAAGTTTCATGTAACTTCACACACTGTCCTAAAAAATGTGCGGTTGTATCTCTTTGTCATGTCATGGTGTCATATTTGCCCAAGTAATCATTTTATGAGCAAATATGTGGTGACATCATGGAGGTAAAGCTCACTTATTTCATCATTAAACTGCACAGCTGCAGTACTACAGCCAGGCCCGCAGATGAGGGGCTTCAGTTACCACTGTCTGCATGGGCGCAGTACCTACTCTCTGCCTGCGGGGGTCATCTTTCCCCACCGCTCGTCTAGTGTGTCCAAATTAGGCCAACGTGTTTAGTATGTAGGAGTAGGATCTAGCAGTAGTATGTAGCAGTAGCATGTAGTATCCGAGCGGGCAATTCGGACGCAGCAACTGTTCCGACGCTCCGTTCGATTTGGAAAAAACCACGTGACTTATGACGTCCGAAGCAGGAACCGTTTCATTCTCTGAATGAACCCTAGTAAACCCCTTGACTGTCTCAAAGCCACGCCCTCTGGTTCGATCCAAGGAATGAATCATATGACTGGCCCTGTGCCAACCAAGTGCCAGTTTGCTGATCTCTCGATTCTGACAGGTTGAAACATTTTCAATTTTTGCGCCTTGACAGCTTTTTAAGCATTTCAAACAATGAACAAAATGTGGGTTTGCAGTAGAGGCGTTTGCATAGTTGTTGAGTTGATTTATCATTACATTGCATTTTTGCGTGTATTGATCATCATCATTGTGGACATGGAGCCAGCCAGGAAGAGGGGCCGTTCTGAAATGTGGCAATACTTTGAACTCATTGCCCATGATAAGGTGGGTATGTTATTATAGGAGTAGTCATTTGTTTGATTATGTGCGCTAACTGCGCTAATCCTCTATAAGAGGTTTCACAGCACATGAACTATGCAGCCACTGAGGCAGTATAACACAAACTCTCTGACATTAAGCTTCACGTTACAAACATTAACACCACGCTGTTTTAGATAGATTGGTTAATAGTCGGATGGATGTTCAGCAATCAGTATTCATTTTCAGGGCTCTCAAGTCTTACGCATTCGGCGTGCGGCACACGCATTCCCACCCGTTCACTTGCCACACATTGTGTTTCTCACGCATTAATATTACCACGGTGACGTCCACCAAGTTGCAACCTTTTAACAATGGAACAGGTAGAAGTCAATTCAGTTCCCCTGAGAGTAAAGAGGCTGCGTGCCACCCACAAGCTAATTAAATAAAGTATATCTACCGAACAGCCAATCAAGAAGTAGCATTGCTGTATCTTGGAGACGGGCACTCGCTGAAATGAAGCAGGTTTCGTAAGCACGAAAAATATCAGATCATTACAGTAAGTCAGTAACCTACACCTGCAGAGGCCTCAACACCTCATGGCAAATAAACTCATATGATAAACTAAAGCCCCATGCTATTGCTATTAACAGCTGCATTGACAGATTTAGCCTCTGTACAGCCATTTCCAGCTATTTCCCTCAAAGTCCATATTTTTTTCTGTGGAAAAGATGCATTTCTTATATATTCTTTGTTAAGTTATGATACTCATGACAATGTTATTCTGATGATCCAAAGGATTAGTGTCCCCCCCCCAAAAAAAAAAATAAAAAATAAATAAATAAATAAAATAAAATAAAAAAGAAAGAAAATCTCACTCCAAGCTTAGTTCAAAACTTGAGAGCCCTGCATTTTCAATTGGCTTGCTGTGTATGCAACCAGGCTTTATCATTTAAAGCTGTTTGTTCTAAGAGAAGAAAGCATATTAGCTGTGGACCACAACTCATCATTACCTCCGCCAAGGAGGTTATGTTTTCAGTAGCGTTAGTTAGTTTGTTTGTTCGTTTGTTTGTCTGTTAGCAACTTTACGGAGAAAGTAACTGACGGATTGGCCTGAAATTTTCACCAGAGGTGCGTCTCAGCCCCAGGAGGATCCCATTAAATTTTGGTGGTGATCCGAAAATTCTGGATACTGTGACCCAGAACACACAAAAATGAGGGTGTCGTCGGAATTTCCAATGCTAAAAGATAACAAATGGGCGGCACGGATGTTGAGATAGGCAGCAGTGTGGTGTAATGGTTAGCACTGTCGCCTCACCACCAGCAAGTTGTGTGTTCGAATCTCGGTCAGGGCATTAGTTTTTATCTAATGTTTTTCTCTTCAGGTTCGGTGCTTGTTGTGTACTTCTGAGCTGAAGTATCACAACAATACTTCTTCTATGAAGAAGGCATTTCACTGCCAAACATTCCGACCAAGGAACTTCTGCAGCTGCTTCAGCTACTTCTGGTGTTACCCAGGAGAACGCAGGAGCAGGAAGAGGTAGGCTATATTATTGATGAAACAGTAACACACTACAATAACATCTTTTAATATATATGACTATATTCTATGACATAATGCTTCATCTTCCCAAAATTTCAAATAAATCTTCATTGTATGTACTGTAATTTATTTATTTCTTTGTTTCTGTCTAGTTGGCCGGCAGCAACAATTGGATGATGCTCTGGTGGAGGTGGTAGTGAAAGACTCTCAGCCGTTTTCAATTGTGGAGGACCGTGGTTTCAAGGACTTTGTGGCACTCCTTGATCCCACATACATTCTGCCATCAAGGAGAGACCTGAAGAAGATGGTGGTGCGCCGTTATACGGAGGAGAAGGAAAAGGCCAAGGCCGTCATGGAGAGTGTGGAGGCTGTCAGCCTGACAAGCGATATGTGGACCTCCATAAACATGGATGCTTATCTGGCAGTGACGGCCCATTATGTGGATGCCTCTGACAGGCTGGCCACAGTGGTTTTGGGGGTGCTGCCATTCCCAGAAGCACACACTTCTGATAATATAGCCACTTCGACGAGGTGTCTCATGATTGAGTGGGGCATTGAGAAGAAAGTTTCAAGCTTTGTGACAGATGCAGGAGCAAATATGATTGCCAGTGTCAGAAAGTTGGGCCTGAGGTCTGTGCCTTGCTATGCTCATGCACTGAATTTAGTGGTGAAGAAGTCCATTGAGAACACTCCTGGACTGGAAGACCTTCGCACAAGGTCTCGTAAAGTGGTGACCTACTTTAAAACCAGCACTAGAGCCAAAGAGATGTTGCAACAGGTGCAGAAATCTGCAGGGCGTGAACCCATGAAGCTCATTCAGGAGGTGGACACTCGCTGGAATAGCACTTGCGACATGTTCCAGCGGTTGTACGAGGAGAGGCAGACTGTGGGGTCAGCTCTTGCCGTGCTCACCACAGAAGTACGACCACTAGCCTCTGAAGATTATGAGAACATGGCTGCCTGCATAGCAATGCTAAACCTATTCAAGAAGGCAACAAATGAACTGTCCGAGGAAAAGAGAGTTTCAGGGTCAGTGGCGATCCCAATGACCAAAATGCTCCTTCATTCTATAATAGATCTTACAGGAAAAACAAGCCATGCCACTGCAAAAATACTGGGGCAGAACTTGATTCAACAGATGACATCAAGATTTGATGGCCAGGAGGATTCAACAGCTTGCAACCTGGCCACACTCCTGGATCCCAGATTTAAAATTATTGGGTTCCACAATCAAGGTCATGCCCATGCAGCGATGAGACGACTGGTATCAGAATGTGCATCTGTAATGAGAACCTCACTACAGCCATCTACAACAAATCAACCAGAATCAGCTCATCCTGCAATACCTCCAGCAGATAATGAAACTCCAGCAGCATCCACAGGTTATATCATAAAGATTATATATACCAACTATATATACCAAGTGGGATTATAAATCATCTTAAAGTCAGTGATACACCTTCAATATGTCACAGATGGACTGGGAGGCAGGCTTGCAGGTAAAAGAAAAGTGTTTATTTTGATCCAGACTGATTACTGTGATGTTTGTCTTTTGAAAGGGAGCCTTTGGGAGCTGCTGGACAGAGATGCAAATGAAGCCAGGAGGTCGAGGAGCACAACGGCTGATGCAAATGTAGGGGTCCAGCGCTATATGACAGATCCACCACTGGAAAGAACCAAAGACCCCCTGGTTTACTGGACAGAGCAAAAAAATGTCTACCCGCATCTGTATGTGCTTGCCAAAAAACTTTTATGCACACAGGCGACATCTGTGCCATGTGAGCGCATATTTTCAAAATGTGGAGACATTGTCAGTAAAAAAAGAAACCGTCTAAATCCAAAGACTGTGGAAAAAATAATTTTCTTGAATAAAAATCTTTGAAATGCATATACTCTACCTGTGCCATAGTTTTTGTTACTTTGTGTACGTTACTTTTTGTTTATACAAAAACATTGTTTCACACTTTTGTTTATTTAAGACTTGGGGACAAAATAATGAAATGACATTCACAATATTTCTTAGCGTAACATTAAACAAGGTATGGGCCATTTGCTTGATTTTTTATTTACTCATGAGCTGCCATAATAACACAATATACAAAAACATCCTTAGTAGTATAGAGAACTAGATATCCAGTCATTGTTTCTTGTATGTGTGTATACATACTATTGTTTGACTGTCTAAAAGCCTCCGTAGTATTTGACTGCAGTTCTAGCTTTTTTGCCACCAGGTGTCATTATCACTGAAGCTTTGAAGCTTCAAACCATTTTGAACCCATTGCTTCAAGTGGTTCAGTGGTTCATAAAAGCTTCATTTGCCCATCACTAAGTCCAGTGTCCTCCTCCAAGGAGAGTGTTTGCACGATAAGTGATAGAACCACAAACAGACTGTTTCATTCCTCTAAACTTGATCTTACATGTGTGGCAGGTTGCTGCTGCACCTCCATTTAATTGGCATCAGCTGCGTCTAATTTTCAGCTGTGCCCGGCCTGATTGCGAGGCGGTGCCTTTATAAATCCTGTCCTCCCATTGAATCTGTTGTTACCTGACGTTCACCCGATGGGCTGTGTTGCCGTCCGCTGGTCAGTTGGTGTGAGCATTTGTGGGACATAAAAGGTAAGCATGAGTTTTCATGCTTGGACTTTTGTAATTGTGTATCATGGTGTGACAGGAGCCGTGATGTTTCATTCACAGCGTGGTCTGCTGCTGGCGTGGATATATTAGAGGTGCTTTAAGTGTGGTGTTGGCTCTTCATCATCATCATCATCATCAAAAGACGGTGACTGGTTTGGTCTTTGCGTAAAGCTCACTTCGCTCTAGTGGGCTGGCTGTTTGGTTGTGTTTTTATTTATTTGTTTGCTGCATGGTAACGTGCCCTACTTTCTCTGTAGCTGTTGAAGCCACAGGTTATGGCTCTCCTCTGTGGCTCTCCTCTCCTCGGTGCTCTGTGCGAGGCTCCACTTCTGCTCACTACGTTGGTCGCCAGCTGGGCATCCTAAAGGACGGCTTTCCTAGTCCTCCAGCCCCGGTGTGGCCACTCCGTTTCTCTGCTGCTCCTTTGGAGTCCCATACCATACAAAGAACTGGTTAATGCCCCACCACAACCTATTTCTGAGTTTAATTATTTCCTTTCTTTGGTTTGTTTAGCATATAGGCTATCTAGTAAAACTTTTTATTTTGTTTAGTTGGGTTTGGTTGTTATTTGGCTTAAGTTTTTTTTTTTTTTTTTTTGAAACATTCTTTTGTTTAGTTAAGCCCACAGCTGAGGTTCAGGTTTCGTTTGTTTTTTTCATATTAATAATTTACATATTAATATCAAGAATATGTTTTATTTAGTTAATTATCCAGTAACAGTATTAACAGTATTACATATTGCTTTTTGAGTGACCAACCATCATATTGATTTTCTTCTTTTTTTTTCAGGAGCTTGCGACAGACTTCCCCGGTGATGGCCTCCCCCCTCACTCCCTTTAGTTTGCCGTGGCACGTGGTGGTTTGGTTTGCAGTGATTTTCTTTGGTTTGTAGTGGTTTTCTTTTGTTCTGATTTTTTTTCCTTTTTAGTCTGTTTGCTTCCAAGTCTCCTTGTTCCCGCTTTTGTTTATTTACTGCATTTGTTTATTGGCAATCAGACGATTTTTACTCATATTTGTGCTCTTTTTCAAAACGAAAGTTTTAATCAATAAAATTGTGTTATTTTTGGAAGTCCGTCTCCTGTCGTCCCTATTTTTTGGTGTAATGAATCTGTGTGACCTTCAATTTGTAAGGGCCTGGTGTATTTCCTGGGGTGAAACTCCGCGTTCGGCAACAAAAATTCAATTTTTGAACCCTCACATGGTTTGACTGCAGCATCTCCCAAACTGCCAGCACCTCTCCAATACTCTGATGTTTTTACTTTTGATACAATCAGTCTGGTTTTAAAACAGAAACCTTCCATCAAACACTGTCTGGAAACCAACAAAGGCCTCTTTGTCCTCAGACTCAAAGCAGAAGCAGGCCTGAAAACTTTATAATTGGTTAGTGGTTTCAAGCAGGAGCGTGTGTTTCTTGCAAGGGAATGACTTATTTTAAGCAGTCCTACACTGACCTCTGTTGGTCAGAGCTGTAAACAAGGGCAAACAAAGTTCTTATAATTTACTTCTCCTGTGTACTGAATAATATAACGAGAGGTGGAGAGAGCTCTTACTGTACTCAGGTAAAGTGACTTTGATTAAATTTGTACTAAAGTAAAAGACAACTATCAGACTGTGAATGTGCTCACATAATAGTAAAAGGTACTTTTTCAATTTTCATTTGAGGTGCCAAGGACCTAAACTATGGGGATGTGAAGAGGGGGAGAGAGTGGAAGGGGGTTCCTTCTAAAGCCTATTCTTAGTCTGATTGACAAGGGACACTTATGTGTGATGGATTTGAGTGATTCTGCACCCATCAAGACTTAAGTTATTGATCTTTTTCTTGATAATGCACTTTAAGGACACCCCCTGCATCATATCACTGCCAGGGACGCCTGGTACGGATGAAGACAAGGTTGTGGCCCACAGCTTACCTCACCATAGTTGAAAAGAGGCTTTGTAAAAGCTCTTTAGTGCTATTGAGTAATTGTGTTGGTTGTATGTAGATGTGAAGCTTCAATATTTGACAGTCTATAATGATCAAATGCATGCTATTCCATTTGAGTTTTCCATGTATTTACAGACATGGATCAACTTTAAGCCAGGAGACCTCAAGACTTATTGGCAGTTTAATGCTTGCTTTAGGGTATTCTAAAATATGGGACCGGGTCCTGGACATGGCTTGATCCATTTCTGTTTTAAGTAAGTTTGTATCCGTTTACCATCCAGGACTCAAATGCAGTGCTGCTTCCGATTTCCCACTAAAGAGCAACCTATGGTCATCAAAAATTAAGTTGATGCAGGTCTGCCAATACCTTCAGTTCCCTGAGTGACCACTTGAGGCTGGCTGCAGCAGCAGATATAACATACACACTGATTCATATTGGCAGATAAATTAAACATGTTCACAGCCTGCTTCAGAAGGGGATTTTGGTCTGGATTGCTTGTTTTCCTTTCCACTTCCACTGAGTGGTAAGTGATTTTTTAAATAATGCATTTGTAATAAAGTTATTCAAGTTAAACTAAGGCCATGTCTGACTTTACCGATAGGTGGGCACACTGCAGCTGTTAGTAAAGAGACTAAAAGGCTGCCGCCACTCCAACGTAATGTTTCATGGTAGGCCATCCTAAAGTTCCGTAGAGACTACATCAAGTTGACAATTTGACAGTCCTAAGAATCTTTTTAACCAAATCTCTGCTTGTCTTTTAGTGGAGAGGAGTGGAGGTGAGTGGATAATAAGGAAAGGAAAAGAGGCTGTGGTGAACTCTCTCTTGTAAAGGGTAGATGTCATTATTTAATGCCATCCTCACGATTTGAAGGGTAGTTTTACCCAGAATTGAGCCAGTTCCTGAACTGTTTCTTTTGTTAACAGTGTCCTCTCTTTGTTCTTTGGGAACAGGAAGTTGGATGGTTGGGAAAAAATCAAAGCTTTTTGATCTGAAATGTTCATCTTGATTGGAAGGAAATGAGAGCAGATGTCTGTAAAAGACATCCAGTCAAGCCATTACATGTTGAGATTGCTTGGCAAGGACTGATACGTTCTTGCCCATCGTAAGACAGTTTCTGTCATCTGCTGGTTAATATAAGCTATATGTTGATAGTAAACTGCCATGTAGTGTTCTGTCATCACAGTGTACTTGTTTTTGTAGTAAGTGAATTGTGACTGTGCAGTACACCAAGTTTACAATGTTCCTTTTTTTGCAGTTCTCTGAAATGACCTTACACTTCTTCTAGTGAGGAAAAAGTCATCCATCTGTTATCCCCTCACTGTCTACCAACTGAAACATCAGGGGTTTAATCCCAAGTCCTTGTGTTTACATGCCAAAATGTTGTATGTCAACACACTTGACCCTGGCTGCACCCGGTAGTGTTTAAATGGGATTAGTCAAAACCTGATGGGCTCTGAACATGTCAGCCGGTGTGTGAAATACCCGGCTGCAATTGGGTGCTCCACCCAAACTAGTGCTCCAGTATCAGGCAGAGGTCTTACATAACATGTAGTATACAGGACGTTAAGTAATGCATACATGCACATTAAACAAACATCATCACATTATTAACAAAGCTGCAAACAGCTGCAGGACCACAGAACAACTCTGCTCTGTGACCAAATAGGACACTTGTGTGCCCCTCTCATGCGGGCATGTGCTCACATATACAAATGCATACATTTACATATGACCCCAGCCAACCAATGTATGGCGAAATGTGTTTCAATATGAAGCACAGCAGGTCTATCTCAGACAGTCAGTTAAGCCTGAGTTTAATTTTTTTTTCTTTGACCTAGGATCCCACCAATGGCAGCAGATCAAATAAGTCCACAGGAGGTCTGTTTAGGTCTGCAAACAGAAGTGAAGACAACGTTGCAAATGCTTCTGATGAAAGTCATGTTTTTCTTGTTGTCTACATGACCTAAGTCTGAGAGCTTTGGTCCCTTTTTCTAAGAGTACTTGAACTTCACTTTTTAACATCTGGTTAGTGGTGATTGCACATTATATGGAATTGTCAGCTGTTTAAAAGAAGAAAATACAAAAACTACTTTGTTTTTTTGTGGCTTTTATGAGAGCATATTTGGTAATTGCTCATGAAGTTTTGATTTCACATTTGAAAAGTCAACCTTTACATGTTTAGAAACAGAAACAGTCATTTTTTGTGTGTAGGACTCTGGGTGTGCAAATGATGCACAATTTGCCTCTTCTGAACACACCTCAGTTCAGAGTAGTGCAGTGGATAAGTGAAAAATTGTTCCAATGGTGATGCAAGTATGAAATTTGGCACCCTCTCTGAGGGTCACTCTTTTGAAAAATTACATTTGACACTCGAACATTCAAGATGGTGGCCATTTTTCAAGAGGGCTGCCACCTTAGTAGAATTGGTTTGAGGAGTGTATGTGGGTCACTTGACCAGAAACTGCTCACAGCCACTTGAAATTTCAAGGTTGTAGCCATTCATTGAGATTGCCACCTGGATCTTTAAAAACTAGCTATATGACTACGTTAATTTGAGTTCCCCAAAAAAAGGCCAAGATTGTTTTGTTGACAGTGTTTTGTCTATCTTCTTACCCTTGACCTGTCAGATTTGGTAAAACCTGCCAGGAGTTACCCCCTAACTGCATAGCTCTCAGGGTTGTTTGAGGTACGTAAGCTCCCTTACCACTACAAGGTAGCTAACAGCCACAATCAATCAATCAATCAATCAATCAATCAATCAATCAATCAATCAATCAATCAACTTTATTTCTATAGCACATTTAAAAGAACCACAGGGGTAGCCAAAGTGCTGTACATTGCGACATAAAAACAAATACAACAAGCAAAGAACAAGATAGAGCGAGCAAAAATACATAAATGCAATAAATAAATAAATAAATATATAAATAAGCAGGCTCATGGCAAGTACTGAGATGATAACAAACAAAATAACACTAAAATGTATTAAAAGCCAAGGAATAAAAGTGCATTTTTAAAAGGGATTTAAAAACAGGAAAAAAGGAGGCCTGTCTAATTATCAAGGGCAGCTCGTTCCAGAGCTTGGGAGCAGCTGCGGTAAATGCTCTGTCACCCCTGAGCTTCAGCCTTGTATTGGAGACTGTCAGTGACAGCTGATCAGCTGATCTTAAGGGTCGGGGGAGGCAGTAAGGCTGGAGAATCTTGGAAATGTAGGGTGGAGCCAGACTGTTCAGGCCTTTAAAAACAAATATTAAAAGCTTAAAATTTATTCTGTACTGTACAGGGATCCAGTGTAAGGATGCCAGGATGGGGGTGGTGTGCTTACGCCTGTGGGTCTGTGTCAGGAGACGTGCAGCAGAGTTCTGCACAAGCTGCAGGCGGGCAAGGGAAGCCTGGCTAATCCCTACATACAAAGAGTTGCAGTAATCAATCAATCAATCAAATTTTATTTATATAGTGCCAATTCACAACAGTCGTCATCTCAAGACGCTTTTCAAAGAACAAGAGCAGGTCTAGACCACGCTCATTGTTTGATGATCAAGAACCAACCTAAGCTGGGTTTTGGCCCATCTCAACTAACATGAGTAGCAGTGGCAAGGAAAAACTTCCTTTTAACAGGCAGAAACCTTGGGCAAGACCAGACTCATGTTAGACAGCCACCATGCCGCTGCTGGGTTGGGGAGGAATGTAGAGAGATGGAGGGAGAGAGAGGAGAGAGAGAAGAGGGGAGAGGGCAGGGGGAGAGAGAGAGAACAAGATAAGGGGAAGAAGAGAGAGAATGAGTAAGGGGGGGGGGGGTAGAGAACGAGGGTGAGAGAGAGACAGGGAACAGCAGAAACAACAGCAACAACAACAACAGCTCATGTAATGGTGAAACAAAATGAGTTCAGTTTACAGGGTTAGGATATGAGTGATTATGGACAATGTTAAATTAATTAAATGTGATTACAGTCAGGAGGTCTAATCGTAATGTCAGTGAGGCTGATGATCATGTTTGCAGTAACAGTCCAGAGGAATCCAGGAGAAGAAGGAGCTCAGGGCCTGAGGTGGACAATCATAGACGATGCGGCTAACAGTCCAGAGGAATCCAAGAGAAGAAGGAGCTCAGGGCCTGAGGCGGACAATCATAGATGATGCGGCTAGAGTCAGGCAGGTCTGCTGCAGCCATCAGTCCGGAGCAACCAAGGGGCAGGGGGTGTCTGCAGCAACGGTCCAGAGGAGCCAAAGAGATGGAGGAGCTCAGGGCCCAGGGTGGACAATCAGGGATAATGCAGCTGGGGTCAGGCAGTTCCGCAGCAGACCGTCTGCAGCATTAGTCCAGTGGCAGCTAAGAGACTCAGAGACACTCAAAGAGACAGAAAACTGGTTAGTGACTTATATGGGACATAAAGATCTAAAGAAGAGCTAGAGACAGACTCTAGCTCAGTGTGCCAGATAACCCCGGCAGTCTAGACCTATAGCAGCATAACTAAGAGCTGGTTCAAATCAGCTATAAGCTTTTTCAAAGAGGAACGTTTTAAGTCTACTCTTGAAAGTTGAGAGGGTGTCTGCCCCCTGAACCTCGAGCGGTAAATGATTCCAGAGGAGAGGTGCCTGGTAGCTGAAAGCGCTTCCTCCAATACTACTTTTAGAGACATTTGGTACAACGAGCAGGCCTGCAGACTGTGAGTGTAACAGTCTAGACGGAAAGTACGGTACAACAAGCTCGTCGAGATATGATGGAGCCTGGCTGTTAAGCGCTTTATATGTCACAAGGAGGATTTTAAATTCAATTCTAGATTTAATAGGGAGCCAATGAAGAGAGGCTAAGACAGGAGAGATGTGCTCCCTTCTTCTGGTTCTAGTCAATACCTGAGCTGCTGCATTTTGGACCAGCTGAAGAGTCCTTAAAGACTTACTGGAGCAGCCTGATAACAGAGAATTACAGTAGTCCAGCCTAGAGGTAACAAAGGCATGGACTAGTTTTTCCGCATCACTCTGAGACAGGATGGGTCTAATTTTTGAGACATTGCGCAGGTGGAAAAAAGCTGTCCTAGAGATTTGTTTAATGTGGGAGCTAAAGGACAATTCCTGATCAAAAAAAACTCCCAGATTTCGCACAGTGGGGCTGGATGCCAGACTGATGCCATCTAGCATAGCGAAATTATTAGAGAATGCCTCTCTAAGATGTTTAGGACCGAGGACAAGAACTTCAGTTTTGTCTGAGTTGAGCATCAGATAGTTGTTGGTCATCCAGGATTTTATATCTTTGAGACAAGCTTCTAGTTTGGTAACCTGGTTCGCTTCTTCTGGCTTCATGGATAAGTATAACTGGGTGTCATCTGCATAGCAGTGGAAATTAATCAAGTACTTCATCATAATTTTACCCAGAGGAAGCATGTACAAGGTAAAGAGGATCGGTCCAAGCACTGACCCTTGCGGGACTCCGTAGCAGACCTTGGTGTGCGCAGAGGATTCGTTATTAACATGGACAAACTGGGATCGATCCGTTAGATAAGATTTAAACCAGGAAAGAGCGGATCCTGCTATGCCTATAGATTGTTCCAGTCTCTTAAGCAGGATGCGGTGGTCGATCATGTCAAATGCAGCACTAAGATCCAACAGGACAAGAACAGAGAGAAGACCACTGTCCGAAGCCATGAGTTGGTCATTTGTCACCTTCAGCAGAGCAGTCTCCGTGCTGTGATGGGTTCTAAATCCAGACTGGAAATCCTCCAATAAACTGTTGTTGTGAAGAAAATCACAAAGTTGATTCGCAACAACTTTCTCCAGGACTTTAGAAATAAAAGGAAGATTGGATATTGGTCTATAGTTAGCTAGGGTGGGCGTGTAGGACTACGGCTCTGCTCCCTGATCTCTGCTTTGAGTTGTCAGTGGTTAGGACTAATAAAATCAGCCAGATTTCTTGATAAACGGGCCGCTCCATCTCGAGTGGGATGAATGCCATCCCGACCAGGCTTGCCCCAAAATGACTTCCAATTATCAATGAAGCCCACGCCATTTTGCGGACACCACCTCGACAGCCAGTGGTTGAATGATGAGAAACGGCTACACATCTCATCAGTTGTCTGAGCGGGCAGGGGACCAGAGTCCGACATGGTTTTGGCATATTCACACACCGATTCCACGTTCAATTTAGTGACTTCCGACTGGCGGCGTCGGGATTCATTAACGCCGACATGTACACTGTGTGCACAATTATTAGGCAAGTGAGTATTTTGATCATATCATCATTTTTATGCATATTTTCCAACTCCAAGCTGTATAAACTTGAATGTTTATTGGATATAAGCATTACAGGTAATGTGTATTAGTGTAATGAGGGAGGCTGGGGCCTAAGGAGATCAAAACTCTATATCAAGGTGTGCATAATTATTAGGCAGCTTCTTTTCCTCAAGTAAAATGGGCCAAAAAAGAGATTTAAGTGACTCTGAAAAGTCAAAAATTGTAAAAAGTCTTTCAGAGGGATGCAGCACTCTTGAAATTGCTTAGATATTTGGGTGTGATCACAGAACCAGCAAACATTTTGATGCAAATAGTCAACAGGGTCACAAGAAATGTGTTAAGAAAAAAAGACGCAAATTAACTGCCAAAGATTTGAGAAGACTCAAACGTAAAGCTACCAGGAACGGCTTATCCTCCAGTGCTGTCATATTCCAAAACTGCAACCTACCTGGAGTGCCCAGAAGTACAAGATGATCAGTGCTCAGAGACATGGCCAAGGTAAGGAAGGCTGAAACCTGACCACCACTGAACAAGACACAAGTTGAAACGTCAAGACTGGGCCAAGAAATATCTGAAGAGAGATTTTTCAAAGGTTTTTTGGACTGATGGGATGAGAGTGACTCTTGAGGACCAGATGGCTGGACCCATGGCTGGATCAGTAAAGGGCACAGAGCTCCACTTCGAATCAGACACCAGCAAGGTGGAGGCGGGGTACTGGTATGGGCTGGTATTATTAAAGATGAGCTGGCTGGACCTTTTCGAGTTGAAGATGGACTTAAAATCAACTCCCAAACCTACTGCCAGTTTTTAGAAGACACTTTCTTCAAGCAGTGGTACAGGCAAAAGTCTGCATCTTTCAAGAAAACCATGATTTTTATGCAGGACAATGCTCCATTGCATGCAACAAAGTACTCCACTATGTGGCTCGCCAGTAAAGGCCTTAAAAACGAAAGAATAATGACATGGCCTCCTTCTTGGCCTGACCTAAACCCTGTTGAGAACTTGTGGGCCCTTCTTAAACGGAAAATTTACAGTGAAGGAAGACAGTACACCTCTCTGAACAGTGTCTGGAACAGTGTCTGGGAGGCTTTGGTTGCTGCAACACAAAAAGTTGATCGTCAACAGATCAAGAAACTGAAAGACTCCATGAATGGAAGGCTTATGACTGTTATTGAAAAGAAGGGTAGTTACATTGGTCACTGATTTTTTTTTTTTTAATTTCAACAATTTTTATTTGTAAACTGAGTTGTTTGTTTATCATTCTCACTTTAACAAGTGAAAATAAACAAGTGAGATGGAAAATTTTTCATTTTTAATTTAGTTGCATAATAATTCTGCACACTAATAGCTGCCCCCAATAGTTGTGCACACATAGATATTCTCCTAAGGAAGTCAAAATCTCACTTTTACTTCCTTAAATATTAAGGTTTGAGGTTTATTAACATTTTGGATTGACCGAGAGCACTGCAGTTGTTCAAAAATAAAATTTATCCTCAAAAATACAACTTGCCTAATAATTGTGCACACAGTGTATTACAATCTTATGGAATTTACATTTAGCCTTTGCCAGCAGTTTTAAACTACCTTCGATGTCGCCCGCTCTGGCCCCTGGAAGACACTGAACTATGGCCGCTGACTTCGCTAATTTCACATTTTGGACTACCGAGTCTCCAATCACAAGAGTGTCGGGCTCAGCAGGTGTGTTGCTGAGAGGGGCAAATTTGTTTGAAATGTGAATATGGTGGTCAAATGTGGGCTTCTTAGGCCTACTGCTATGCTTCCCTTTCACAGTGACCCAACCACTACTACATCCTGGCTGCTCGGGATCTGCCGGGAGGGAAGCTAGGCTGACCCGCACCGGCTACCGTGTCCTGGCTGGCTACCGCTACTCTAGCATCGGTGCGGAGCCGATTTTCTAACTCTGTAATCCTCACCTCCAGAGCTAAGAATAAACTACACTTAAAGCAGGTATCGTTATCGTCTAAGGAGGACGAGGAGTAACTAAACATCTGACACACTGAGCAGAAGCGAGCAGGAGAGGCAGGAGACCGGGGGGAAGCTAAGAGCTAGTAAAGTAAACTACCAGAGAGATCACCCGGAATGGAGATAAGGACGGTGCTTGGTGAAAACTATCAGAAATACTTACAGACTTTTAAACAAACAGATGTATTGATAGATTAAAGAGAGAAAATAACCCAAACAGCAAGAACGCTATCAGGAGGAACAAAACGCTACACACAGTTCAACAGGAAGGGAATGAAGCAATGCGCACACTCACCAGTCAGGAGGAGGAGTCACCAACAAGTACTGGACATGATTTCAAGGAGTCACCAACAAGTACTGGACATGTTTTCAAGACAGATAGTGATAAAAGCATGGATTAATTTTTCCAGGTCAGATCTTGATAAAATGGGCTTCACCTTTGCTATTTGACGTAGCTGATAAAAACTTTTTTGTACCACTCCACTGATCTGCTTCTCAAATTTAAAATCAGGGTCAAACTTAACTCCCAGATTAGTAACGACATCCTTTAGATAGGGTGAGAGGGAGCCTAGGTCGATGTTTGGGGGGTGGCCGCCACTTGGTCCAAACAACATTACTTCGGTCTTGTTCTCATTAAGACTGAGGAAGTTAAAAGAAAGCCAGGCTTTAATGTCCTTAAAACAGTTTGTGAGTTGCTGGACTGAGTCGGAGTTGTTCTGTGCCACAGGAAGATGGATCTGGCAATCATTGGCATAAAAATGAAAGGAGATGCCATGTTTCCTACAGACAGAACCAAGGGGGAGTAGATAAAAGGCAAATAAAAGAGGGCCGAGGATTGAGCCCTGGGGGACCCCATGTGGAAGAGGAGCTGTTGACGACACAGAGTTGTTAAGTTGAAAGCAGAAATTTCTGTCCGTTAAGTGAGACCAGAACCAGTCCAGGACGCCACCCTTAATGCCCACACAGTGCTCCAAATGCAGCAGACAGATCTAGGAGCACTAGGACAACAAACTTTCCAGAGTCCGTTGACAAGAGAATATCATTAGACACCTTCAAAAGTGCCAACTCTGAGTTGTGGAGAGCTTTGAAACCAGACTGGAACAACTCTGTGATACCATTATCTTCCAAAAATGGTAACAACTGATTGTAGACAACCTTCTCTAAAATCTTGGACAGGTAAGGAAGATTTGAGATGGGTCTGAAACTGACACAGAGGGATGGGTCGAGGCCTGTTTTTTTAAGTAGAGGTCGTACTACAGCATGTTGAAAATCCCAAGGTACTGTACCAGAGGAGAGGCTACTATTTACAATATTAAGGACACTTGGTCCACTAGTAGCAAGTACCTCTAAACAAGCGAGGGGGGATGGCATCTGCAGGGGAACCAGAGGGCTTCATATGGCTGACTATGTCCTTTAAAATAGAGAGGGACACAGACTCAAACTTAGCAAAGACAGATGAGGGGTGCAGAGGATGAGGCTGAGAGATACAGGCTTTGGTTGACATAATTTTATCAGTGAAGAAGTGGAGGAATTTTTCACAAATTTGAGTGGAGGCATCAAAACCAAGAGACTTGGGAGCCTCAAGAACAGTGTTTATGGTTTTGAACAGAGCTCTGGGATTGTTACAGTTAAAAGCAATTAATTCTGAGCAAGGGCATAGGTTTGCATAGGGACGGTTAGGGACATAACATTACCAACTTTTCAGGGTGCTCAAATTGTCCCCACCAACTTTTAAGCAAACTTATTTGCATTATATAATGAGTGCAGTTATATTGGTAATTTAGATTGTCTTCCCATTATTAAGTTAATTATTTTCATTATGTTCTGACTTACATTTACCCCTTTTCACTTGTTGAATGTGCCGGTCCATTCTTTTTCCTCAAACGCACGTTTGATTGGCTGATGACTAGTTGTGGAGGTGGGGGAACACCCCTAATTTTGCTACTGAATGTCCGACCCGCATCAGAGTTAGCATAACATTAAACTATGTGAACTTGCTAACCTGTAAAACTTGAGTAGGCAGCTGCTC